CTCCTTTCCTTGCCCCCCCCCCCCACCTTTTTTTTTTCTTAAAAAAACCCAAAACGAATGTATTCGAATACAGTGGTTTCTCACACCCACACATCTTATCTGCAATCATGTTTTCTTGAGCTGATTGTTAGCGTTTTAATCCTCCTTTCCTTGCCCCCCCCCCCACCTTTTTTTTTTCTTTCTATCAATCAGTGGTGGTGTGTATACAATGTCCCTTCTATCAAGATGAGAGAGGCACCAAAAAATGTGAGATTCACTGGGTACTAGTGATGAGCTAGATCACTGTTGATGGGGCAGATCACTGTTGATGGGGCAGACCACAGTTGTTGGGGGCAGAGTACTTTTATTGGGAGTAGACCACTGTTGATGAAGCAGAACATTTTTGATGGGGCAGAGCACTGTAATGGGGAAGAGCACTTTTGTTGAGGCAGATCACTGTTGATTAGGCAGACCACAGTTGTTGGGGGCAGAGCACTTTTGTTTGGAGTAGATCACTGTTGATGAAGCAGAACATTTTTGATGGGGCAGAGCACTGTAATGGGGCAGAGCACTTTTTGTTGGGGCAGATCACTGTTGATGAGGCAGACCACAGCTGTTGGGGGCAGAGCACTTTTGTTGGGAGTAGACCACTGTTGATGAAGCAGAACATTTTTGATGGGGCAGAGCACTGTAATGGGGCAGAGCATCGTTGATGACACAGACAACTGTTGATGGGGAAGAGCACTATTGATGGGTCAGAACACTGTTGATGTGGCAGACCACATTAATGGGACAGACCACTGTTGATGTGGCAGACCACTGTTGATGGAGAAGAGAATTTTTGTTGGGGGCAGACCACTGTTGATGGGGCAGAACATTGTTGATGGCGCAGACTACTGTTGATGGGACATACCAATGTTGATGGGGCAGATCACTGTTGATGTGGCAGACCACTGTTGATGGGGCAGACCACTGCTGATGGGGCAGACAACTGCTGATGGGGCAGACCACTGTTGATGGGGCAGACTACTGTGGATGGGGCAGAACACTGCTGATGGGGCAAACCACTGTTGATGTGGCAGACCACTGCTGATGGGGCAGACCACTGTTGATGGGGCAGACCACTGTTGATGTGGCAGACCACTGTTGATGGGGCAGACCACTGCTGATGGGGCAGACCACTGTTGATAAGGTTGAACATAGGCGGTATGACACAAATGAAAAGTCCGACGAACTTTCTTTTGTTAATATTTAAGCCTGTCATGTAATAATTAGAGTTTTATAAAACTGACGTTGCTGCGTTCTTGTTTTAACATGCCGTCATCTGGAGTAGACACCCCCCCCCACCCCCAAACCCCGGGCCGACTCGAGGCACCCGCAAGTCGGGCAGCTGCTAGGGTTCCATCAGCGATCTGTAAAATAAATATGAATGAAACATGATTTCTACCGCATTAATAGCATGTTTGTGCATGGGAAGTAGGCTGACAAAGGCGGTCTTTTACTTCGTGGGTGCCCTGAGATCGTTTATCTCTGCCACTGGTTATTGTTGCGATGTACTAAAAACGGGTGCAAAAAGATAAGCGAGCCAGGGGCGCCAGCAGCCGTCGGGCCGGTCCTGGTAGGACCAGATTAGAAAGTTAGTAGGAATCCTGTCATACTATTAAATACATCACAGAAGTGTTGCGATACATTTTGGATCAGACGAAATACGCAGGAAAAAAGGTGGGGGTGGGGGGGGGAGAGGGAGGGTGGTGCTATCGCTTTAAGTAAGAAGATCGTTAAAATAGCAATTTGATATTTATGTACCCGTATTGAGTTTTTTTTTTTAAACCTGTCTCCACGTTGATCAAATTACCTGTCCGACCTTGCGCTCCGACGTGGGAAGCCAATTGTCATTGTCCCCGCATTCTTTCCTGGCAGGCCATTCGATCCACACCTTCACCGGGGTCTCTCTTGAAAGGCAAACTTTTATCTGGTTTATTTAAGACACTAATAGCCATAAAAAGCCGTTCATAATAATCCTGTTCAGACGCCATATGATTTTAGCGGACGCCAACGGTTCTCTGCATTGTTTTTGCGACACACCTCGCTGTCAGGGAAAAGTCATATTTCAGTGAAAATTATCATTTTGAAATCGTGTCTTTAATAACATTTTAATTAAAATAGTTGCTTTTGTGACGCAGGTGGGGCTAGTGCAGGGGTCGGCAAATCGCGGCTCGCGTGCCACATGCGGCTCTTTAGTGACCTTGAGTGCGGCTCGGCCAGTCCACACTCAAATCGGCTTTGACCCCGAATAACATGGTTCTTGACAGTTTCTTGAAAAGTAATTTGGCTCTCAAAAATTTGTGTAGTCGTCCTGCTGCTGATTTTTTGGCTCTTTTGTCTAAGGAGCCAGCCGACCACTGGGCTAGTGCCATCCGGGTTGGGGCCAAGATTTTTGCTGCCCCACCCTCCCACACCCCCCCCCCAAAAAAAATACACCAAAAATAACGTAACCCCTGAGGAGGACTGCCACTCCGAGACCCTCTTTCTCACAACAGAGATTTCTGATACAAGGGTGGCCCCCGCTGTAACATAAATACACTAGAAGTTTAAGCCCACATTTGCCAACCATAGTGACGTCGATGAGCATGAGATAAAATAGCCGCAGACGCCAGGGTGAAGAATTGGCGGCACGCCGGCCACCGAGCCACTAATAATGCAACCGCAACGAGTGAGTCGCATTTCTCTATGACAAGGCGTTGCAGTTTTAACAGAAGAAAGTAATTTTGAGTTGGTTTCTTTATTCGTGAATAGAAAAAAAAGCTTTATAAAATGACTATACATATATATATATATATATATATATATGCCCATTGAGTTTCGAAATTTTTATTTAAAAAACAACAAATGAGTTTCATTCAGGCTATGCTTTCTTCGTACATTATTTTGGCGTATTTGTTTTGAAACTCTTCACAACTTTGAATTTTACGAACGGTAACTCATTTCCTGATGTAAACTTACTTTGACCGGATGTCCCACGCCCCACTCACACTTGAATACATTACGTTACAAGTGTTTAAATAATTTTTTTTTTCGTTTCTCATACAAGCACGTGCATAACGGTTATGTTAGCTACGCAGGGACGTTATTAAAATTTACATTAAAACAAATAATGTGATCAATCGTGACACTACAGCCCATGCAGGGCCCCGGCATGCTCCACCACATACTTCCGTTCGGACCGATCCATGGCCTTCGGCCTCAAGGCTTGAACCCTGAACTGGTGTAAACCCTTCTCTACATCGGCAATGTGTCTGAGTCGTGTTCGACCGGTTAGCCGTTTTCCCCCTATATTTCTGCCTCTATATCACTTTTGTTGCTCTACAACCCTCCTCTACATCGGCAATCCATCTCAGTCGTGTTCGACCGGTTAGCCGTTTTCCCCTAATGTTTCTGCCTCTACATCACTTTTGTTGCTCTACAACCCTCCTCTACATCGGCAATCCATCTCAGTCGTGTTCGACCGGTTAGCCGTTTTCCCCTAATGTGTCTGCCTCTATATCACTTTTGTTGCTCTACAACCCTTCTCTACATCGGCAATCCATCTCAGTCGTGTTCGACCGGTTAGCCGTTTTCCCCTAATGTGTCTGCCTCTATATCACTTTTGTCTAATGTGTCTGCCTCTATATCACTTTTGTTGCTCTACAACCCTTCTCTACATCGGCAATCCATCTCAGTCGTGTTCGACCGGTTAGCCGTTTTCCCCTAATGTGTCTGCCTCTATATCACTTTTGTTGCTCTGCAACCCTTCTCTACATCGGCAATCCATCTCAGTCGTGTTCGACCGGTTAGCCGTTTTCCCCTAATGTGTCTGCCTCTACTTCACTTTTGTTGCTCTACAATCCGAAATCCGTTCTTTTCAACGCCGTCTGCCTTTTGTTTTATTGTTGCATCTACGAGTGGGACTCGTTAGCATTGTTTTGTTCGGATTCCTTAAACATCATTGTCTAATCTCTGGACCATATTTTTTTAAACTGTGGATACTAATACTATGATTTGGAAGATACACCGTGCACAGTTGAAAACATTACTTTTCATGTGCTTGAATATTTTACTTACTTAAATTTTTACACAAACACGCACAATATTTCTATTAGTTCCATGATGATGGTAGCAATATTTACATTTTAAAACAATAAATGAGTTTCGTTAAATCATTAATGGTTTTTTGGTTGGATATTTTAAATTAATGCAATACTGATGAGTTCTTTTTTCCATGTCTGCAGCGTTCAGAACCCAGTTTTATTGCAATGTGTGCACGTGAGAGTGGAAATTGTTGAACAAGTAAGTCATTCATGTTGATCTACATCTTCTATCAGCAATAACATCAGATTCAGCGGCATACTTCACTCTGATACACAAATACTGGAGCTCTCCCGGAGTGAAAGAGACCTTTATGAGGACATATTGGGCACTGTATTTCGGGGACTACAACTGGGCATTAAATAGTGGGCACTGCATATTAGGCATTGCTCAAAGGCAGACTTGGGCTTAGATATGGATCAATGATATTGGTCAATACAATTTGGGCACTCCATTTTGGGAACAACATAATAGGCACTACATATTGCGCACTAAATATTTGGAACTGCATATTGGGTACTGCATATCAGGCACTACATATCAGTCACTACATATCGGGCAAAAAATATTGGCACTAGATATCAAATTACAAAAATGAATTTTCTATTTTTACACTCTGGGTACTCTTTATACCAATTTAAGCAGTAAACAATAAAATACAGTCACAATTCCCTTTTTATTTACTCACCCTCCTCCGATCACTCATTATTTAACCAATGTTCTTTCTTGCCCCCCCCCCCCCAACTCTTTATACCAATTTAAGCAGTAAACAATAAAATACAGTCACAATTCCCTTTTTATTTACTCACCCTCCTCCGATCACTCATTATTTAACCAATGTTCTTTCTTGCCCCCCCCCCCCTAAATTCCCATATGATTATACAGTGAATGTAAAGTTAATCTATTCCGATACCACTGCAATTCCCATAGGAGTTAGTTCCCTTGTGAGCATGATGGAAACCACGACGGGGCTTCCCCAGCAAGTACACGTACGCCCCGCTACTTCCGGGACACGTGCACGTGGTGTAATTGTACGTCGTGACGTTGTCGCTCCCGTACATCCGGTTCATCCGCGTCCACTCCCCCAACGAGATCTGCTTGGAGCACCCGTGAGGGTGGGAGGCGATCACGGTCAGCCGGGCGTGCAGGCGGTACGGCCAGTACACCTCGCTGACTATCCCGCAGAGCTGCTCGTAACCTGTCATGGCGTCCACCAAGGCGTTCACTAGATCCTCGTCGTGGACGTAGCAGCTCAGAAACGACTCATCGTTGGCAATGTCAAGGTCGAAATGGGATAAACAGTCAATCACCACGGGATTTCCGTCTTCCGAATCGTAGCCGAAGAAACAGGCGGATTCCCGAGCCTCGATCTCGTCGAAGACCACGTGGGCGGCCGTTTGGATCCGAACGTATCCATAGCTCGTGATCGGGTCGGGTGAGTTTAGGCACTGTGCGCATGGGCACGGGATGTTGGCTTCCGGGGTGTACTTTTGAACCTCCCAGATCATCCCAGTTCCGTTTCTCGTGAACTTGTCCCCACACCTGTTGTAGAAGGGGTAAGGGGCGTCCGAGTCCGGGTAAAACTCGGGTCTGTCGGGACTCACGCACCTGGTCGAGATCTTCACGGTGAGCCTTGCCTGGAGCTGGATCAACTGAAATATGGCGTCCTGTCGGTAGTCCTCCGGCAGGTGGTCGATGGTGAACGATGCCACGGGGATGAAGTGCGTGTGTCCAGGGTTCTTGCTGCACGCTGCTTTACGACTGTGCAGATCTGACCCGGCTTCATCGCTCTCTTCAACCTCGTGGTCACCTAGAATTACTCCGAGAGACAGAGAGAGAAACAAATAGACATGATTAAAAATGTTTCGATTAGTTCAACTGAGTTGTTTTTAATGTTTTAAGAGCATGCGACATCAATCTATGATGAGCGTCGCTGCAACTGTTATCGATTCTGTAAAAAAAAAAATCATCCTATATTCTCTTCCAATTCTAAGAAAATCTTCATGCGGGCAAACAGTCTGCTCAATCTCATTAAGATATTAAGAATAAAACTTCCTGGTATTCCGTTTGGCCAGTGTCTCAGTAGCTGTTTAGTACTTTTACGTCAATGTGAGCCAGCCAGATCCGGCGCTAGGAGGGGGCTGGTCCTTAGGGAAAATTGAACTTTGCGGGGCCGTTGACATTATATATTCCGCCGATAGGATATTAAGACACCTTATAGTCGTACTGTGGCCTTGCTGGTCATAATGGGACGCGTCATAACGGATATTTGTTCACTCGCTTAGTTCCCGAAATCTCTTTTTTGATCCTATAAAAGTTAATTGCTCTGGAGCAAATTACTCCTCGCAGCTCCATTGTTACCAATATCAAGGTTGACTGGATTAGCAACTGTTAGTAGGCTTAGGTATATTATTTAATACACTTCGCCATCCCCTAGCGCCGGCCCCGAGCCAGCATAATGGGCATAAACCTAGACGGAAACGTGTTGGCAACTTTATTATTTTACGAACAAATTTTAACTGCTTTAATGAGCTTGCGGAAATATGTTTTTAGAAGCTTTGTTTTACGATAACATCGTCTAAAAAAATAGCTTTACGTAAAGCGATGTGGCGTTTTCGGGTGTTAGAAATGACACACTCTAATCATTCAGAAACCTTGTTTTACATTGGGAGGATGATCAGATATTATGATAGCGTCGGCAAAGTTATGTATCTATACGTATAAAATTCCATACACAGAGGATTGATCTTTATATAACGTTTCAGGTGCAGATATGCCGAGGTTATGTGTTTGAATATATGAGACATAGATTGGATAAAGTGATGTGCTTAATAGACCATTAATAGATTGGACGAAGCGGTGTCCTTAATATGTTGTTGAACTGTATAAGCGAGAGATAGATAACTTATGCAGAGTACATGTTCGCTGAGGGCCCCACCCCACAAAAAGAAAAATCCCCCCCCCTCCCCGAACGCTGCAATGAGATATAATTCACACTCAGCTTACCGTGGTCGATAGCCTTGCAATCAAAAACGTAGAAGTAATCAGGTGGTGCGGTCACCACGTCCTTGTCTCTTGTGTCATTCTGGTGGTCATCGCCGGAACTGGACGATATGTCGACACCTTGGACCCCGGGGTCATCTGCGGGATCTGGCGTGCCAGTTTTGTCCAGATAAATGTCCGCTTGGACCGGCTGTTGACTTGGTATGGACTCTGAAACAATAAGTAAATTTTGGAATACGATCGAGTACTTTAGGTCAAAGAGAGAAAGTTGAATTTTTGTGAATGTGAAGATCACCATCTGGCATAATTCAACATATCAAATGCCATCTGGCATAATTCAACTGATCAAATGCCATCTGGCATAATTCAACTGATCATATTCCATCTGGTATTATTCAAGATGGTTCTCTTTTTATAAATGCTTGGAAACAGTGTGCTTGACTGACCTGACCTAACGTCAGACAGACATTGCTCTTATTGACCAAACGCAATGCAGACACTGTTTTCATGGTCAAGACAACAATGTCTGTCTAGTTTTAACTCAGCATAGCAATTTAACTAAAGCGTTATGTGAACAACAATGTCGATCGGACTTTAAGTCAAAACAAAAAAGTCTACCTGCGACTTTAACTCAAAACAGCAATGTCCATTTTGCTCTAAGTCAAAACAACAATGTCCATCTGGTTTTGACTCAAAACAGCAATGTCCATGTGTCTTTAAGTCAAAACAGCAATTTCACCTAGATTTAAGACAAAACAGCAACGACTGTCCCGCTTTAGGTCAGGCCAGTCAAGCACAATGATTCCCATCCATTAATAAAATGACCATTCTGGGGGATTCTGGGTCATTCTGTTTGTTATCTTATCTATGTGAACAGAGCCCGGCACCAGGGTTTGCTGGCACCTCAGTGCTACCACCGCCTTTCTCTGCCAATCAGTTCCCGACATGGGACCTGACGAATATACTGACCTCGTTGGTTGCATCGTTTCTCATTATTTCTCCATTTCAACATATGCCTTCCTTGTTTATTTCCCATGTTTGCTGCAAAATATAATATTTAAACAAAAATAATTAAATAACTAGCACGGGTAAGTCTTATCATTTCCGACTGCACGGCTACCAAACTGTTATGAGAAATGGCTACCAGAGTGTTTTGAGAAATGGCTACCAGAGTGTTAAGAGAAATTGCCACTAGAGTGTTAAGATAAATGACTACTAGAGTTTTAAGAGAAATGGCTACCAGAGTGTTATGAAAGATATCTAACAGCATAAAATGAGACATGGCTACCAGAGTGTTATGAGATATGTCTAACAGCATGTAATGAGACATAGCAATCAGAGTGTTATGAGAAATGGCTACCAGAGTGTTAGGAGGAATGGCTACCAGCATGAAATGAGAAATGGCTATCAGAGTGTTATGAGATATGTCTACCGGCTTGTAATGAGAAATAGCTACCAGAGTGCTATGAGAAAAGGCTATCAGAATGTTATAAGAAATGTCTAAAAGCATGTCATGAGAAATGGCTACCAAAGTTTTATGAGAAATGATTACCGGAGTGTTATGAGAAATGGCTACCAGATTTTGATCGACTTCATGACTACCAAAGTTTTATGGAAAATGGCCATTGAAGTGCTGTCAACAGCGGGTTACAAAGTGTTATCAAACATGGCTATCAAAGTGTTATCAAACACGGCTATCAAAGTGTTATCAAACACGGCTATCAAAGTGTTATCAAACACGGCTATCAAAGTGTTATAAAACACGGCTATCAAAGTGTTATCAAACACGACTATCAAAGTGTTATCAAACACGGCTATCAAAGTGTTATCAAACACGGCTATCAAAGTGTTATCAAACACGGCTATCAAAGTGTTATCAAACACGGCTATCAAAGTGTTATCAAACACGGCTATCAAAGTGTTATCAAACACGGCTATCAAAGTGTTATCAAACACGGCTATCAAAGTGTTATCAAACACGGCTATCAAAGTGATATCAAACACGGCTATCAAAGTGTTATCAAACACGGCTATCAAAGTGTTATCAAACACGGCTATCAAAGTGTTATCAAACACGGCTATCAAAGTGTTATCAAACACGGCTATCAAAGTGTTATCAAACACGGCAATCAAAGTGTTATCAAACACGGCTATCAAAGTGTTATCAAACACGGCAATCAAAGTGTTATCAAACACGGCTATCAAAGTGTTATCAAACACGGCTATCAAAGTGTTATAAAACACGGCTATCAAAGTGTTATCAAACACGGCTATCAAAGTGTTATCAAACACGGCTTTCAAAGTGTTATAAAACACGGCTATCAAAGTGTTATCAAACACGGCTATCAAAGTGTTATCAAACAAGGCTATCAAAGTGTTATCAAACACGGCTATCAAAGTGATATCAAACACGGCTATCAAAGTGTTATCAAACACGGCAATCAAAGTGTTATCAAAGACGGCTATCAAAGTGTTATCAACCATGACTTCAGATGTGTTATCAAATGTGGTCATCACAAACGTATGTGGTGTAGTGGCTAATGTTGCAGTGTATAGATTACCTAGTAAGAGAGGATTTGATAGAAACAAAAAGTACGTATCTATGTTACAGAACAACTTATTACATTACCCTAAATGTCCTTTAAATCTAAAATTAAACAGCCAACAGGTCTTACTGTAAACCACACCCCCCCCCTTTTTTTTTCCCTTGCATTTTTTTTAGTATAAATGTATATATATATATATATATATTTATATATATATATGTTTGAGGAATGAATAGCTCCATTGTGTGTTCCCTTGATGATCGTGCTGTGAAGTTCAACCATTCTGATACTGGCAGAAATTAGTAAACACCGCTGCGCTGACAGATACGACATGAATTACTTCGTCAGTGGTTAGTGAAGCAGGTTGGGAAAGGGGGGGGGTAGGGGAGGCGTATGTCTTCTTCTGTGTGGGTGATTAGAGATGCGTATCATTTGACCCGACACATTTGACCCAACACATTTGACCCATTTCCAAGCAAGTTTAAATCTAGATCGCCGGCCAATGGAAACTAAATGTACATTGAATGAATCCAACGTAGTTGAGTAGTACATTGAATGAATCCAACGTAGTTGAGTAGTACATTGAATGAATCCAACGTAGTTGAGTAGTGCATTAAATGAATCCAACGTAGTGGAGTAGTACATTGAATGAATCCAACGTAGCTGAGTAATACATTGAATGAATCCAACGTAGCTGAGTAGTACATTGATTGAATCCAACGTAGTTGAGTAGTACATTGAATGAATCCAACGTAGCTGAGTAGAACATTGAATAAATCCAACGTAGTTGAGTAGTACATTGAATGAATCCAACATAGTGGAGTAGTACATTGAATGAATCTAACGTAGTTGAGTAGTACATTGAATGAATCCAACGTAGCGGAGTAATACATTGAATGAATCCAACGTAGTGGAGTAGTACATTGAATGAATCCAACGTAGTGGAGTAGTACATTGAATGAATCCAACGTAGTGGAGTAGTACATTGAATGAATCCAACGTAGTTGAGTAGTACATTAAATGAATCCAACATTGTTAAGTAGTACGTTCAATGAATCCAAAGTAGTTGAGTAGTACATTGAATGAATCCAACGTAGTTGAAAAGTACATTGAATGAATCCAACGTAGTTGAGTAGTACATTGAATGAATCCAACGTAGTGGAGTAGTACATTGCATGAATCCAACCTAGTTGAGTAGTACATTGAATGAATCCAACGTAGTTGAGTAATACATTGAATGAATCCAACGTAGTTGAGTAGTACATTGAATGAATCCAACGTAGTGGAGTAGTACATTGAATGAATCCAACGTAGTTGAGTAGTACATTGAATGAATCCAACGTAGTTGAGTAGTACATTGAATGAATCCAACGTAGTGGAGTAGTACATTGAATGAATCCAACGTAGTGGAGTAGTACATTGAATGAATCCAACGTAGTGGAGTAGTACATTGAATGAATCCAACGTAGTTGAGTAGTACATTGAATGAATCTAACGTAGTTGAGTAGTACATTGAATGAATCCAACGTAGCTGAGTAGTACATTGAATGAATCCAACGTAGTTGAGTAGTACATTGAATGAATCCAACGTAGTTGAGTAGTACATTGATTGAATCCAACGTAGCTGAGTAATACATTGAATGAATCCAACGTAGCTGAGTAGTACATTGAATGAATCCAACGTAGTTGAGTATTATATTGAATGAATCCAACGTAGGGGAGTAGTACATTGAATGAATCCAACATAGTTGAGTAGTAAATTGAATGAATCCAACGTAGTTGAGTAGTACATTGAATGAATCCAACGTAGTGGAGTAGTACATTGAATGAATCCAACGTAGTGGAGTAGTACATTGAATGAATCCAACGTAGTGGAGTAGTACATTGAATGAATCCAACGTAGTTGAGTAGTACATTGAATGAATCTAACGTAGTTGAGTAGTACATTGAATGAATCCAACGTAGCTGAGTAGTACATTGAATGAATCCAACGTAGTTGAGTAGTACATTGAATGAATCCAACGTAGTTGAGTAGTACATTGAATGAATCCAACGTAGTGGAGTAGTACATTGAATGAATCCAACGTAGTGGAGTAGTACATTGAATGAATCCAACGTAGTGGAGTAGTACATTGAATGAATCCAACGTAGTTGAGTAGTACATTGAATGAATCCAACGTAGTTGAGTAGTGCATTGAATGAATCCAACGTAGTTGAGTAGTACATTGAATGAATCCAACGTAGTTGAGTAGTTCATTGAATGAATCCAACGTAGTGGAGTAGTACATTGAATGAATCCAACGTAGTTGAGTAGTACATTGAATGAATCCAACGTAGTTGAGTAGTACATTGAATGAATCCAACGTAGTGGAGTAGTACATTGAATGAATCCAACGTAGTGGAGTAGTACATTGAATGAATCCAACGTAGTTGAGTAGTACATTGAATGAATCCAACGTAGTTGAGTAGTACATTGAATGAATCCAACGTAGTGGAGTAGTACATTGAATGAATCTAACGTAGTTGAGTAGTACATTGAATTAATCCAACGTAGCGGAGTAATACATTGAATGAATCCAACGTAGTGGAGTAGTACATTGAATGAATCTAACGTAGTTGAGTAGTACATTGAATGAATCTAACGTAGTTGAGTAGTACATTGAATGAATCCAACGTAGCTGAGTAGTACATTGAATGAATCCAACGTAGTTGAGTAGTACATTGAATGAATCCAACGTAGTTGAGTAGTACATTGATTGAATCCAACGTAGCTGAGTAATACATTGAATGAATCCAACGTAGCTGAGTAGTACATTGATTGAATCCAACGTAGATGAGTAGTACATTGAATGAATCCAACGTAGCTGAGTAGTACATTGAATGAATCCAACGTAGTGGAGTAGTACATTGAATGAATCCAACGTAGCTGAGTAGTACATTGAATGAATCCAACGTAGTTGTGTAGTTTATTGAGTGAATCCACTGTAGTGGAGTTGTTCACTGAGTGAATCTAACTTAGTGGATTTGTTCATTGAATGAATCCAACGTAGCTGAGTAGTACATTGAATGAATCCAACGTAGTTGAGTAGTTGATTGATTGAATCCACTGTAGTGGAGTTGTTCATTGAGTGAATCTAACTTAGTGGATTTGTTCATTGAATGAATCCAACGTAGTTGAGTAGTACATTGAATGAATCCAACGTAGTTGAGTAGTTTTATGATTGAATCCACTGTAGTGGAGTTGTTCATTGAGTGAATCTAACTTAGTGGATTTGTTCATTGAATGAATCCAACGTAGTTGAGTAGTTCATTGAATGAATCCAACGTAGTGAAGTTGTTCATTGAAAGAATACACAGTAATGGAGAATGAATCAATATTGTTCATGAATGCAACCTAAAAAATCAACTTATGTTGTTGAATGCTACTTTTCATGTTTTTCAAAATAAATTCTTCTTGTTTGCCTTTTCAACCGCCAATAAATATCAAAGCCTTCCGGCCTCTAGCTATTTCCTCGAGTTACGTACCCAAAGTCTTAACACTCTTTATTTAAATTCTAGTCCACATCTCAGTTACATGTGTGTTTCTTTTGTTGTTTTTTTGGTGTTTTTTTTTTTGTTGGTGTCTCTACCTGGTACTCCTGCTACATCAGTGTTCCGCATCAGTGCTTGGCTTGTCATAGTTAGCAAAGCGTCCCCTACCTGGGGGCGGGGCGTGTCTTGTTTTATTTGAAGGGGTGGGGTGGGGGGATGTTCTCATGGTATGACCTATCAACCTTCATTTCCAAAAAATCTTGCCGCCCCACACCCTCCCCCCCCCCAGGAGATGTGTGGGGTTTCATTTTACTCAGAGCCGTGTTTGGGATTTATGTGTGTGAGACCATTGGATGTTGAAGATTTTACGCAGGCAGCCCTTCCCTTCAGGTTTGCCGCATTCAGGTGACATATTTAAATTGATGAATAGTATCGCTGTTAATATTGTTGATTGTTTTAATCCACCCGAAATTTCATACTGATATATATATATATATATTTTTTTTTTTTAACCTTACTTTCAGTTTTAAGTAGCTTAGATTTTTACCCGTGTTAACACTAGTAAATAAATGAAGGGACTTTTTGTTGGCTGATGAAGGCTTTAAGCCGAAACGTCCTTGTTTTTTGTCCTGTTACCTTATTTCAAGCTTCCA